ACGTCTCTGCTTCTCCTTCCCTTCAGGACCATGCCGACCCTGCAGAGCTCTGCCGTCCTGCTGCTTTTTAGCATCCTGATTGGACTGAGCTGCTCTCTGGACCCAAGAGACCCCAATGTGTGCAGCACGTGGGAGAGGTGAGGCCTGCAAACAACTGTCACTGTTATGATGCAATGCGATCATCATACATTGCATATATGAAAAAAATGCAATTTACTAAATTAAAAAGTTAAAGTGGTCAGACGAGACATTAGGACACAAAAACAGCCAAATAAAAAGAACATTGGTGTTATTTATGGTACCTCCTCTGTGGAGGCTCAAAGTCAACTTTCTAATTAAATTTCAGCATCACTTTTATTGCTTTAGTCATTTGTGTTTAGGATAAAACTATCTGGGTGACTAACAGACCAATCAAATGCAAGAAAACAGAGTTCAGTCAGACTATTTACTGTAAAACATGACATGTCTTTACTAAACTGAGGCCACAGTATGGCAGAAATTTACAATGGCAGTTGATGTCATCTACACCCAGGGTGTGTGCTTCAATTCTGTCAATTCCCTATTTCTCACAGACTCTGTGGAAAAGTGCATCTAATAGCTATTTAGATAATCAGACAGGACTGATGATGATGATGAACAGCGCTGCCACTCATAAAACATCTCCTGTGAGTGGGTGTAGTATTTACACTGTTTCTGCTGTTCTGCCTTACAGCTTCACCACCTCGGTAAAGGAGTCCTACTTGCATCCTTATGACCAAGTGGGAGAGGAGCCCTGCTGGGATCCACGGACTTCCTACAAATGCATGCGCCACAGGTAGCTGAAGCAGAATGACTCATTTCCTTCCTGACTTCCTCTTCCTGCCAGGGGAGAGTCAAAACATAATGTGCGCCCTATGTTATTCTTTCAGGATCACCTACAAAACAGCCTACAGGCAGGCGGTGAAGACTGATTACCGCAAGAGATACCAGTGCTGTCCAGGCTACTACGAGAGTCGAGGCAGATGTGTCCGTAAGTAGCTGTGGAAACCTTTGCACTCTTTGCTCCTACTCGTGCATCAGTGTCATGTTACTAGGACAGAAAGGTGAGACAAATCGGTCTGGAGAACTTTTAACAGAGACTAGGGATGCACCAATACCGATACCGGTATCGGGTATCGGCCTCGATACCACATTTTCTAAATTACTCGTACTCGTTAAAAGTCCCCCGATACCGGGGACCGATACCACGGTCTGAGACCTGTCTAAGTTTGTTAAATTATAGGACTAAAGCTGTTACCTGTAAATTTAAATGATGTTTTTATTAAGTACTCGGTATCGGCGAGTACTGAAATGCAGGTACTTGTACTCGTACTCGTTTCCAAAAAAGTGGTATCGGTGCATCCCTAACAGAGACTAAAACCGACATTAAAGTTCTCGCTGCAAGAACAAAACAAGATAAATGTGAGTAATGATTACACTGTTACATTTTTCCTTATACTAAAGATGTACAGCCACAGTGATGCTACTCACTGGTTTCACTTAACAAGGCAGTGAAGTTTAAAGTTATTAGCTAAGTGTAGCAGGTTACATACAAGTGGAGCAGGTGCGATGCACGGGCACAGTTATCTTCTAATTCGTGTCTCACAACAGACTGATAAAAATACAAGGCTGTGTCATAGACAGACATTTATTAGATAATTATATTTACGTGTATTGTGTTGCACTTCTATTTAAAAACAGGAATACAGCGAACACTGTGCAGAGAACCTCACCAGACAGGTGACTGGTTTGAAAAGCAGCCCAATCCCCTTTGACTTAATGGGGATTCCCTTAAAAGGGAAAAACTTAAAAGCCTTAGAAATCATGTGAACAGCTGGTGTTAAAAACAGCATCTCCCCC